GGCCACCACAAAATAAAAAGGAATTACAAAGGTTTCTTGGTCAAGTTAATTTCCTAAGGAGGTTTATCTCTAACTTGGCGGGCAAAACTCGTGTCTTTTCACCTCTTTTGAAGTTGCAACCAGATGCAGATTTTAAATGGGAGAGGCAGCACCAAGCCGCTTTTGATGCCATCAAGGAATACTTGTCTAAGCTACCTGTGTTGGTTCCTCCGGTTAAGAATAAACCCTTATTGCTGTATATATCCGCCGCAGATGAGTCAATTGGCTGTCTGCTGGCGCAAGAGAATAATAATAAACAAGAGCAAGCTGTTTATTATTTGAGTAGAGCTTTGAATTCGACCAAAGTGAAATATTCTTCGGTTGAGAAATTGTGTTTGGCTTTGTTCTTTGCAGCAATAAAATTGAGGCACTATTTATTGTATTTGGGGGTGTTTGTTGTTTCAAAAACTGATGTCATAAAATACATGTTGTCGCGGCCACTCTTAAGAGGCCGCATTGGTAAGTGGATTCTTGCACTTACTGAATTTAATCTGAGATATTTTCCTCAAAAAGCCGTCAAAGGACAGGCTTTAGCAGACTTTTTAGCAGATCATCCTTGTTTAGATGTTAACGCTGATGAAGACAAGGGAATCAATCTCTTTTCAATTGACTTGGTTCCTTGGAGGCTTATTTTTTATGGGTCTAGCACTGATCAAGCCTCTGGGGCTGGAATTATTATTGTTTCTCCAGATGGCATAAAAACCCAATGGTGTTTTCAGTTGGATTTTGAATGCACCAATAACCAAACAGAATATGAAGCTTTGGTAATTGGCCTTGAGTTGTTGGTAGAATTGAAGGTGCCATCGGTTGAAATTGTGGGTGATTCTCAATTAGTTCTCAAGCAATTGAGTGGCGAATACAAGTGTACAAGCGTGGTTTTGTCTCCATATTTTGCCATTGCCATCCAACTATTGGAGGAATTTGATGATGTCTCCCTGAAGCATATTCCTCGCAACATGAATATTGAAGCAAATGAACTTGCACAGATTGCTTCAGGTGTAAAAATGCCTGAAGGCATCTTGGAGAAAGTCATCGTCATTGAAAAACGTATGCTGCCTTCAATTCATCAAAGAGGAATAACGGTGGAAGCATGCTCACTAGATGTCACACCTACAGACTGGAGGCATCCAATAATAGAACATTTCAGGAATCCCAGTTCTAAAACATCAAGGAGAACAAGGATGCAAGCTTTAAACTATGTGCTACTCAGGGATGTTCTGTATCGTAGGGGGCAGGATGAATTATTGTTGCGCTGCCTCGGTCTTGATGAAAGTTGCCATGTGATGTCAGATGTTCATAATGGTATTTGCGGTGCTCATCAGGCAGGGATTAAGATGAGATGGATAATTCGAAGGCATGGTTTCTTTTGGCCATCTATTCTTAAGGATTGCATCAATTATGCGAAGGGCTGCAGAGCTTGTCAGTTGCATGGTCCTTTGCAATGAGCACCAGCTTCTGAGTTACATCCTATTGTCAAGCCATGGCCTTTTCGTGGCTGGGCAATTGATTTGATTGGGAAAATTTATCCACCTTCTTCTAAAGGTCATTCTTTCATAATAGTTGCTACAGACTACTTTACTAAGTGGGTGGAGGTAAGGCCTATGAAGAAGGTTGATCAAGGAGATGTCATCAAGTTCATAAAAGAGGATCTGATCCACAGGTTTGGTCTTCCAGAAACTATTACTTCTGATCAAGGTACTGTTTTTGTTGGATCTCAAGTAGAGGCCTTTGCAAAAGACATGGGATTTCATTTGCTTAATTCAACTCCGCATTATGCACAAGCAAATGGTCAAGCAGAGGCATCTAATAAGATTAACATCAACATCCTGGAGAAAATGGTTGATGATAATCCCAGGAGATGGCATGAGCTTCTTTCAGATACTCTCTCGGCATACAGAACCTCACAACGGAGTTCAACTAAGGTGACCCCATTTTCGCTTACTTATGGTCATGATGCTGTTTTGCCTATGAAATTAACGGCAAGGTCTTTGCGGATTGCAATTCAAAATGGCTTGAATTCTGGGGAATACAATGAGGCCATGATCATGGAGTTGGAAAACCTTGAGGAAGCAAGACTGACAGGATTGGATGTGATGAAGGCCCAGAAGCTTAAAGTGGCACGAGCTTACAATAAAAGGGTCAAGCAAAAGAATTTAGCCAAAGGAAGCTTGGTTTGGAAGGCTGTGCTGCCACTTGGCAAGAAGGATCCTAGATATGGTAAGTGGTCCCCTAATTGGGAAGGACCATTCCAAATTCATAAAGTTCTTAAAGGGGGTGCTTTTTGGTTAAAATCTTTGAATGGGGAGTTGCATCCGCGCAAGATCAATGGCATCTACTTGAAACCATATCATCCGACTGTGTGGGAGGCAAGGGATAATTCTGCTTCCACGTCTGCATGATCCAGGTTTGCAGACATTCGTATATTATTTGATTCAAGTTGTTTTTCTTTCAATAAGGACACGTAGAGTTTTGGCTTGAACCATGGAAGCATACATAAGACTTGGTGCTGCCAAGGAAGCATGGCATGTTCTTACATTTGTGTTTTAGAGCGATTTTGTTTGCAAAGCCGTGGGCAGCATGAATAAAGCAAGCGAATAAATTCATGTTTATCATTAGAAGAAGAAAAATAAAAGAAGTCTGGAAACAAATGTTCAAGCGGCTTAATGGCCGTGACAAGGAGGAATGATGTTTAAAAAAAAAAAAACCTAACAAAGGTTTTGCATCCAGGTGGCCCACTCATCTCTCATTTGCTACAGTGTGTTGTTCGCTTCCTTTGCTTTCTCCTCCTGTTGTGCAGCCTCACTCTTTGCAGCCAAAGCTTCATGTCCTTCTTCCTTGAGCTCAACTAGTAATTTGCTTCTTTTGGCTTTAAAGGATTTGAGGCTTTCTCCTTGCTATAACTCTTGGGCAAGAAATTGGCTGGCCATGGCTAGAATGGCTTGACAGAGAGGATGCGAAAACTAGAAAAACAAAAAGAGAGAAATGGTCGCAAATCTGTGATGATGGTTATCGGAGGAGTGGCTGTGTTTTATAATGAATTGTAGTCGATCATGTTTCCGAGTTCGAAGTGGTGAAGAATTGCAATTGCGTCACAGAAGTTGCAGTTGGCCATGTTTCCGATTCCAAAACGGAGAGGAAATGTAAACAGCAAAAGGAGACAAAGGCACAAATAAGTTGAGTACTGTCACTAAGGTCCTAAATTTTTGACACCTACTCCCGTAAGGCCAAAAATTGGGGGGCAATGTTTACACCTAATTTTACAACAAATAGAGTGCTGCCACGTGTCACCCATGATGGCAGATATTTTATTAGTTGGAAGTTGGTGTGGATTTCTTTAGATGAGATTGAGTGGTTATTTTCACAACGGCAGCAAAACCGTTCTTTTGTTGCGAGCTTTCAGGAGGATAATCGCAGCACCAACAAATTAATCAATTTGTTGCAGATATTACACTGTCGTT